AAACACAACAGCATCCATCATCGGCCATTACGTTATTTTATTGGTAGTTACATTTCGCAATTACAATAGCAAGTCAAAAATTTCTATCATCACAGAGATTACTATCAAATGACATTCTTGCAAAGACAACAAACTCAAATTCGTGACATTACAGTACCAGCTAATGTACCAAACAATGACATTGCAAAGATAATGTACTATCTAAATTGTGTCTACTATTGTATCGACTATAATGACAACGACATTCGTCGTTATACAAACTATTCAAAATGAGCATCATTATCTGATGAAGAAGACTACCTCGTCTTTCTTCTTGCTCTGACTCTCAATCCAAATTTATTCATCGGAAAAATCTTTTTTCCAAGTGATGCTCTCAGTCGTGACATGAGTGGTCGATTTTATGAGATTAATCAAGTGAATCACCAACTGGTCGTGGCTCCATCACTTGTAGTTGCAGGACGCACCTGTCAAGTCAACAGAATTCTCGCTTATAAACAAGTGTGGCTACAAGATAACTACATCAACCCGATGTGTTGATTAAAACAAAGATTTCTTCCGCGACAACAACAAACTAGTGCTTGTGTAATTTCTTGAGTTTTTGTAACATGTTCTTGAATAAATCAAACAAAAAAATATCTAACTTCAAGTGGTGCAACAGCTTGTCAGTGCAGTCCCTCATAAGATTAATCCTTTCGGGATGAGAGACGCATATATGCGTCTTACATCCTAAGACAGTTCAAATCTAGGGATGCGTACTAATTATCATTTATGTACTTGGCATTGTTCTATGATTTTGTACGGACAACATATATATGAGCCGTAGCAGTCTTTGAAAGATCAATAACGATGATTAGAAAGAAAAATCAATTCACTCTAATCAATTCCGTGTTTCATTATTTTACTTGACAAAAAGAATCTCGTTCTGAAATAGTTAACACATGGAATTAAAACAATTATATTTCGGTCCACAGATTGTATTTTGAAGATACTGAGAGCTTTTTTCAATTGAAGAATCTAGGCGCAAACGAATGCGTCTCTGCCAATCTATTTCTTTTGGATATTTTCTGCATGCTTTGACCATGTAGGCACTATTAGTTCTTCTTCAAGTGTTACTATACTGATGTCGACCATTTTCTGTTTTTGTTTCATTGTCTGGAACTCAACATATGAGCCAGTTCACATAAGCTACGACCGATTCTCAGAGAAGATGCTCAAGCAAAGGTTTCAGACTTTGCTAAATCTAATATATATCGATGCGTACGCTCTTGTCCACGCATCTACCCTAGCCAACCTGCAAGTTTTGAAGTTCACTTTATTTCTGCTGCATTTGACCATTAAACATTAGTAAGAAAACAATCACAATGATATATTAATAGAATTCATCATATTACTCTTCTGAATCACTTTCACAAAACAACGCTATGTTTCTTGATTCAGTATGTCCTGGATTGCGGATTAAATCCTAAACGATAAAGTTTGCACCATCATTTGTTAGTTCAATATCAAGACTAAATAGTTTGACAGATATTTCGAAATTGTATTGTTCAGTCGATTTCATCATCAAGACTTGATTCTTCGTAAAACACTGAGCATTCTTTCCGCTTCATTCGAGCTGATTGCGAATGGGTCAAGTATTTGATGCAATTGATACAATTGTGAGCATTGTTCAATTCAATAGTCATCTAATTGAGAAAGACATGAATCTTGTCTTTTAAATTATGGATGATCTCCTTCACTGCATTGTTGAAATAATCATTCAATGATTGAAGAAAAAATTCAATGAAATTTCTTTCAATGTCTTCCAACTCATCTTCATCAAAATTGGTATTTTCAGGCTGTTTTTGTAAACGTATTAAATGTGATGTAGTCTATACTGATGGCGCGTACATTTCGATATCATCCAATGTTGTTCGAAGTTATCTTACGCATGTGCGATTGTCTGTTGGGTTGAGCACGGTTTAGTGAGAATTGACTTAGACATAAACCAAGCTTCGCGATTTGTGGCAAAAACTTCATCGATGCTCTGACAACATCTCGTAACAAATGTATCTCGAATTCAGTAATCGTGTCCATCAAATCTAGTGTATAGTGACGACCATACGAAGAAGTGACCGCTTTTGACTGAGAAATCGTTATGAATGTCAAAATAATCGCTGTATAATGTTGTCATATAAATCAGACAATTTAGTATAACTATAATCATCGAGTTTTGCTCGAAGATCGGGGAGTGAATGAAGAAAAGATTCATTCAACCTCACTCATGCACTATTTTCACAAATGATTGAAATTAATAAATTTCAAGGCAGTTTTACAAAACTTTGATTGATGATGACACATTGCATGTTTTGATTTGGATTACTGAGAACTCACTATTGCGATAGAGATTAACCCAAGTTTATGAAGAGTCTGATGATGATTGTTTAACGATTTGTAAGTAACTACGCGTTGTTAGATGTTTCCTTTCGTTTCATATTGTTTTTTATATTTAATAACAACTTGTTTGTTTGTATATTTTCGATCGATCTATTTCATCTTGGGTCTGAGTTGTTCATTATCATAATGTAGATAATTCTCACATATGTATATTTATTCATCGAACAGTCTAGAATGGTTCCATTGAATTATATCATTAGACACACCAGCAATTATCAATGGCAAATGGATACAATTGAACATCAATGAGATTGAAGATTCTCTGTCGGTTTGATTCATTGCATTATCTGTGTATAGGAGGAAAAGAAAAAACAAGCAGTGACTGCTACGAACATGCCAAAATGAAATTGCTCGAAGGATGTTAGTGATGCCAATTAGCTGCGAAATGAACGCGAAAATTAATGTTAGCATACTACGAAACGAAGCTGATCATCGACAACATGAATGTTCAATAAAAACAGAATTATCGGTGCTCTCTGTTCTTTATGATTACCATTGATAAAGTCTTTATTTACAACAGAGAACAGTCGTGTATTTCATGTGAACGTGCCGTTTGATAGATACTCTCACCGATGATTCAATTTAACAATCGTACGAAATGTTCAAAAATGGGATCATTTATTGAAAGTACTGCTAAGTCTTCGATGAACCTGGTTGTTCATATTGTTTTATGAGGAGTAATGTTATGTCACTGATCAAGGCGGTACTATACTATACTTCTTCATTTTCTTCCTATATGCTTAGGTATTATCAAATATGGTTTCTGGTGTCGGTTTATTCTTTAGTGTAGTCCAGTCTCTATATATCCTATCTGAATTATTGATAGGGTGATTTTCTAAGTGTGAAAAATCCAATTACATCTATCGATAAATAATTATACCCATGTTGTGTGGAAACCGCTAGTAGGCTCAGAATTGTCGGAGCTCCTGTGTGTTTTGCTTGTCTTAATGTTGCAAATGAACGGTAAGCACTCATCGATAAACCGAGGTCTAATATAGCGCACCCTTCGACGACAAATATTAATCTGAAAATTGTTGGGAAGTCGATTAGCTGATGGTTCCTTATTTTATGCAGTTTTTTGTATCCCATATATATTGATGAATGTTATATAGCGGATGAGAAAAAATAGTCAAATCAAGTAGACAATAAAGTGGTATGGTGCTATGTCAAAATATCCTCCCATACAAACAAAATTCCAGTTTCAGATAACTTTACTCGAGTTTCTCCCGAACGACGAACTAGAGTAGAAGAACTGAAAAAGACTTATTATAGGTTGTCATGTTAACTGAGAATTACGATTAGAATATCGACTGAAGAACTTCTCACTGCTTAGAAGTAGACTTGCAGAATGGCTACAACTCTATGCATTGACTTACAACAAGGTTCATACATAGAACATTCAGAATGTATAAATAATTTAACAGCACAGATAGGTCCTATAGCCCAAAAGGAACAAAAACGATATTTTAAACTCTATACATTGAATTACGATAGAGACCTTTATTGGTTAAGTATGATGTAAAACATAAGAAAAATCAATTAAATCTTTTCGAACACATACAATTGCAACACATTCGATACATAAAATGTTATTCGCATTGATACTCAGAAAAACACTTCAAGTTAAATCGTTCTCGCATAAGTTCACATATATTTTATTCGATTCTTGCTGACAACTGTATTAATACTTCTATTTTATTGTACTTCGATTTCTGGCATCGTGTAACTGTTCTTGTTATTGCTCTTATTCAATAAATTGAGGACATACGTTTCTTTAAGTGATTGCTCTGCATTCGATTCTCTGCGTAATTTTTCTCTATATTGGAGATCTTTTCGTTCCATTTCTCGTTTACGGCCAAGTGGCACTCGATAATGCCAAATGAGCATAATCACATGCATGAGAATATAGAGACCAAAAGCGACAAAGAATACATAGCGATCTATCCAAGTATTTTGATCATTCGAAGTTGTTTTTGAAATGCGATCATCAATGAAAATAATAGTGCCGATAATCGCATGCCATACGCACAGAAGAATAAGAATAACAATTGAAACAATGGCGTACTTATCGAATGATGACAAATAGGATATTGTCGGCTAGAATACGAAAGTTTAGAGTTGAAAATATGTCGAATAACAAAAGAAGTCTAACAGTGTGTCGGTTGCAAAATTTTTCAACGAAGAAAAAAGCAGAACATTTTTGTTTACATGTCACTTTAAAACTTTCGTATGATATGCAATTAGTAGTTTTTCTATCATAGAATATCTACTTACAAGAGATCGATTTACGGTCCAACGAAAAGTGATTGAAGTTAGAAGTAGAGTAGCTCCAGTTTGAAGACGATTTTGAGGGAGACTAAGTGAAAAGAAAAATAAATAGAACGTGAGTAGAAACAGATAGGAACGTGTCTTTATGCATTTATACTTGGGAGGCATTGAAAAGATGCAAAAGCCACAAATAGTAATAAGAAAAATCAAAAAGAAGCCATTCCAGTAAAAATAAGTGGAACAACGTGCTAGAAAAGACATCAACTTAAAGAAATTGACTAATTATACCTAATAGGAAGCTAACCTGCATGACACGATACAGATACAAATGAACGTTTCCGTCCTTCGTTTGAGTCCATTTCTATATTTTCGTCGCCACTAATATTGCTAAAAAACTCCTCAACGAAACGTTGCTTTGCATTAACATGTTCATACAATGACCATTCTTGTTGATCGATGAATGCTTCACGATTTATTCCACTACGATAATATGGATCCGGCATTAGTATTACTTTGTCATCATAGAGCATTGAACCAACAGAAATTGTTAGTTCTTGAATATCAGATGGAAAATGATGCAATTCAAGTTTTTCCCAAAAATATCCTTTGATTTCACGAAGTTCACATATGCAGACTTGACCATTCGATGTTTTCTTTGCACTATATCTTATTTGTTCTTTCAGATCTCCAAAAGCATTTTCGATAAACAATTGAGGATGCCAATTTACGTCGGCATATTTGGCAAGAGATACAGATTTTCCTTGATTCAAATTGTTTTGATCAATAAGCGGAAGAATTGGGAGGAAATCGGCTAATTCAACTAGCCAACGAGATTCGATCGATGCTTGTGCTTGATATTTTTCATTCAACGTATCAATGTCACCTTAAAAGAGAGATGGTTAAACCAGTGAAAAACTAATTTTTTTTCTATTGATCTTTTATCAAGGTGAAGTTAAGCAAAACAAGAATAATTTTGGACAGACTAGTAAAATGACGTCACAATCTGACTGTCGCATCATACTCTAGAGTTTTGATATTTTGTCTAGGCACAAACTTTTTGGCCTTGGATGGCCAAACCAAAGATCTTTGCATCATATCGGTAATGAGCTACTTCGCTGTACTGCTTATGTTTATCGTCATGTGGATTAATTATTGAATATGATTTTCTTCGATGAATTGCCAAGACAAGAGAAATTGAAGACCGGAAACTTAAAGTCTAATTTCTGATAATCATGCGAATGAATAAATAAAAAGCATTAACACAACTACCCACCCACATAAAAGTAGTTGTATCGGTTTATATTCGTGAGATTCTTATTCTTTGTTGTGGATTTTTATTCGAGAGATGAACCGCTTGTTTTTTTTTATAGGGCATGAAGCATTATGCTTCCTCAATGAACGTTTGTCCACCTTTCTTTCATGAACATATGCGATGATCACGACTTTATCAATAGTAAAAGTATTAATTCATTTGTTTCATTGAAAACAATATGTTGACGGAAAAAAGACAAACCAACCTTTTTGAGGAATAAAATCATTAAATAGAATGAAAGTTCTTATAATAATTCCATCATGAAAAATTATACCCGACTCTACTTCCTACCTAGTTTAGTTAGTTCGAAATCTTATTTAGTGTTACTAATTTTACTTAATAGAGATTGTCTTTAATCGTAAACTCACCGATACGTTGAAACATGAGGCGAATGCCCACACGAGTCTGATGCTTGTAAATAGATTCTTCACTAGTAATAGATCGTAATAAGGCCATCATTCTTGATCGTAGCGAAGTTGCTCAAGAAATAAGTAATTCAAAGATTATTGATTTATGCAGTAACGTCAGAAGCGTGTGATACGAAGATAACTTATAGTCGTCGTATTGTTATACTTCTGTCCACGTTCAATCTCAAAGTATTTATTTATGAGAATTATTGGATTTTTATAAGATGTGGAAAGAAATTCACAAAGAAATAAAGAAAAATTGCTGAGTTACAAGAAAAGAAATCGGCTCGACTGAAAACATTTAATCTGCAATTTGCTTGTATAGGCTTTCAGTGAAAGTCATCGGGTAGGGTGCATAGTGCACGTTGAAAGTAATATTGCTCGTCGTCGTCATCATCATAGTAGGAATTATATTTTCTTTTTCCTTTTTGCTCTCTACGCCAGTAAACAAATGTTTTATCGATCGAATATTGACGATCAACGTTTGATAAGTCAGAAGACGATTCTTTTTTATTCGCTGCATACACTATTTAGAGAGTCATTACGACTGAAATCTCATTCATTTTTTTTGTTTAGAGTTTTGATGAGGTAATTAGACTTATGGGTTGATAGTGACAAATGATGAAACTTTTGCTGTCTAACATAGGCATAGAGTATAATAAATGTCCTGTACAGAAATTATTTAAGTCTACTTTTAGTTTATCGCATCTATCGTACTAAAAAGTTGCAGTTCACTCACGTGTAGTCGTGAATAAATTCCTGTTGAGTTTCCTACCAAACAACACAAGATGATTTACTCTAAATTTCTAATCAGACCAAACGTCCCAACAAAAATATTACACCTGCAATATGGCGACTTTCTAACATTATGGATGATCTTTTGGCTCCGTTTATTCGAAGTTTGATTTTGAGAGGAAAATTTACTAAGCATAACGTACCTCACAATAGCTCTGTGTTAAAGCTATGTGAAAACAACTTTCACATCAGAAGTTGTAGGCTAGAAATATATTGACGCTTAAAATAATTTGTCAAAGCTATCAGTGATTCTAAATTTGTTGTTTACAGAAAACGAGGAAATGTGGAAAGCCAAGCAAAACTAAAACATTTGAAAAAAAGATTTTGTTCATATAGTGAATAATGAAAATTACGGTATCAGTTCATTATGAGAACAGAATTATATTCGAATTAAATGAATAGAGGAAACCATCTAAACAATTGTCGAGTCGCTTTCAAATAAGTCCGTACTTTACGATTCCTGAATGAAATGCGGCACGATGAAAAGAATGAGAAACAGCTTAGTTAAATGTTCTCAAAATTCCTTCCATGTTTTTATTTTTATTCTATGACAAGACAAGTATCTAACATTTTTGGAAGAACTTCCTATATTTTTGGAGAATTTTGGTTACTCGGCATTATTTGTAACTAAATTCGAAGTTCAGAGTAATTTTTGTGGCATAATTTTGCAGAAAATTTAGCAAAGAGAGTTGAGAGTACCTTGAAGTTTTATGATGGAAATCGACTTGATTGAGAAAGATAGGAAATAAAAATTCTGACACTGTTTCTGGCGTACTCGCTTAAAAGGGTCTGGTTTTTTAAGGAGATGATTTGAAAAGATGTCGTACATGTATTTGGTCGTATAAAAACACATACGACAACGTATAACACTAATTTTTTCAACCCTACCTACACTCCGAAAGATATTTCGATGAGTCACTCGGACAAAACTTTAAAGTCTTGACCACTTCTTTTCGACGGATTCACATGAATCAGAGTAAGAGAACGAGCTGAGCTCAATGCTGTACCCTCTACTCTTCGGAGAATCTTACTCAGAACAGTCAATCTTAGTCTCTGACATCCATTGGCGGACCATTTTCAAAGGGTTTTCAATGGTCGAAATACACTTGGAACGAAAAAAACGTGGTTGTCATTAACGTGTGTCTACTTTTCGACCTCTTTATATGCATCAAACGTACGTTAAACGCAGAAGGAATAGAAGATACGAATGCATGTACATACAATTACTAAATTTCCATTGCACCACCAGCCTAAACATGACTTGCTTCTATAACATAGAAGCTATGTTATTATCACAAGGTAAATAATATCGAAACTCTATTTTGTAATATTTATTGTTCAAAATTCTGTTTTAATTTTTTAATATGTGAGATACTTTACCTGTTTCAAATTCAAAAGTCAATGATTAACCTTGTAAACAAATTCTTTTGACAAGATTCAAACACTTCTATACAAACAAACTGCAGTAGTGTAGGAATTTGCATAAAAAGAACGCAAGAAAGAGTAGCAAGACGCAGTACTGTGAACGACCGATTTGACTAGTTTGAAATATTTATTGCAAATATTCTCGTACGAAAATTATAAACACAATAATTACATATATTAGTAAACATGACATTCGGCAAAAAAATAGCAATTAGAACGCCAACGATATTAATACCTTCCACCATATTTTGATAACTATGTTGTAATTGTGATTAATGAAACAATCATACCAGGTAATTAACGAAGAAAAATTGTTTTTACTGCTGTGCAGTCATGCATGACTACGGTCGTCGCATCATAATTACTCACAGCTACCGTACAAATTTCATACTGAAGCATTACTGTCACGCAAATCAATACTAATGAAGCATATGAGCACTACCATAGAGCATAATTAGCGTGGACCATCTCACATTTCTACTATCTAGTTTTCGACAGCTACTTATATAAAAACAAGTAACGCGACGCAAACGCCGCTAACCCTCTACTGAAAGGATGTGATTTCCTTGAAGATATGGTACTCACGAAGAAGACTACAGAACTAATGTGCTGCTATGCATCTATAAAAAGATAAATAGTTCTCGTCACCATGGCTCGCTTGCTAATTGATTGGATTTGATTTAACCATCGTGGGGTATGGGTGGGTGGGTGGGTGGGTGTGGGATATGTCTGAGTATGGATGAAGTGAAGACATACGCCCACACCCACACCCCACACCCCGCACCCACACTCTACATCCACACCCCACACTCCACACCCACACTTCACATTCACACCCCACGATGGTTAAATCAAATCCAATCAATTAGCAAGCGGGCCACGGTGACGAGAACTATTTATCTTTTTATAGATGCATAGCAGCACACTAGTTCTGTGGTCTTCTTCTTCGTCAGTGCCATATGTTCAAGGAAATCACATCCTTTCGGTAGAGGGTTAGCGACGTTTGCGTCGCGTTACTTGTTTTTTTGAAAAAACTCATCAAATTTAAAGAGTTTAAACCAGTTGTGATAAAGAACATTCTCGAATTCTATCATTTTGAAAATAATCTGGGTAGAGGAACCTTAATATAGTTGAAGAATCAAAAAACAGATGTTTTGAAAAATATTAGCCGCCTTTCAACACTAGATTTCTCTAGAGCGAGCACCCTTAAATAATTCGCTAGACATTTAAATGTTGTACCATCATCAGAAGCAGACCTCGAATTTCAGTTGCTTATCCTTGACTAAGTCTAATCAAGCTTAATACAGATATATGATCATATTCAGTTGTTTGGGATGTCATATTTTCTTATCCTGAACTCTGACTTTTCTGAATAAAACGGAGAGAGAAACATTTATGGCTTTTTAAGTGGGATATGTATTGCAATATGACTGTTTCTTTAAGAAAACGAAATTAGATGTCCTTTAGTTGTTTCCGTTTGTTCAGCGAGCTCAGTAGCATGACCAAGTGGCGACCACCCCAAATTAGAATAACTTGAAAAAAACATCTTTTTTTCAAAATTATAGTATTCTGCACAGCTTCTTGAAACCTTTAGGACGGCACAACGACATCTATATTTGCTTACAACACAACAAGCAAATAACGCCCTGCTAGCATTCACAAATCCTTTACTGGAGAGACTATATTACGTCAAATGTCTAATAAGGAATTATTTTGGTTCAAGAATCAGATCATTTCACAATTTATGAAGGTGCCTCAGCTTTCACTTATTATAGTTACGATAAGCCTTCTAAATCAACGTCTAGTCGTTCGTCGGCCTCCCTCCGGTCGGCCACTCACGACCAGCCGTTTCCATATATGGTTTATTTTTCTGCCTACCATTTGTCACATTAGTACTTGGATGCGCAGAAAAAATAGTTCACTCATGACGTATCGATATGTAATCAAAAATTTCCAACATTTAAATAATGTTGTGTACTTTTCGTCATAGTTTTCAATTTCTTTTTTTTTTAACAAAATGATATGTTGCCGAATTTGTTTTCAAACCAGCATTAGTTAAGTTCTTCTGAGAATCTCCCTAAACCGCTTCAGATTCATTTCAAAATTGTGCTCTTAAATAACCTTCTTAGTCAACGTCTAGTCGTTCGTCGGCCTCCCTCCGGTCGGCCACTCACGACTAGCCGTGCCCACATTTAACGCCATTAAATTGTTCAATATTACTTCAGGTTTGAAGCGAATAGATGCATCTCGTTTGAATTCCTTTCGAAAATTTACTGAGCATATGTTAATACCCTCATCAAGAAGAAACTAAAAAAAAGAGAACTATTTATAAATTGCTACAAATAGAGTACATTACATTGTGTTAGAAAAGATTTTCGTCTGTTTTAAATGTTATTTTACATTTGATGCCTACGAAGAGTCAATAACTGGACTTCAAGTGACCAC